GATGTAGGACTCGGGAGCTATAATAGGTTTGGTAACCAGGCTAAGGAGAGGATGTAGGACTCGGGAGCTATAATAGGTTTGGTAACCAGGCTAAGGAGAGGATGTAGGACTCAGGAGCAATAATAGGTTTGGTAACCAGGCTAAGTAATCATACATTTACCAGGCAGCATCCATTTGCCAGGCAGTTACCATCTGCCACCCATTTGGCTAGCGTAAGAAAAGATACCAGGAAAAAAGCAATGCTCGATAAAACACCTAAACACACGTCAGAAATAAGGCGAAGGTTTGGAGAGTAACTTCTCGAATCACTTCAACGTTTATTTTAGTATGGACTGTTCTCAGGGCCAACTTACAACACACAGGCCAGCCCCCAGAGAAGCAGTCTGACCAGATCACTAAGGAATCCCGAGCAGAGGGAATAAATCAAAGACAAAGAAAATACAGAGCTAAACTGTAATATATATTTATACAATGTGTTGAGCGTACCGCAAGAGTCCTCGTCCTCTCCGAAGGGGCAGTCCCAGTTCCCATCGCACCTCAGACCGGGGTCCACACAGGTCATGTTTCCTGCCCAGCTGAAACACTCAACCTCTCCCTCCGTGCAGTTATGTGTACCTACGGTAAAAGACGAAAAATGGAAGTTCAAAGTCGTTGTTGTATCCAGAAGAAAGATGTCCCAGAAGAAAGATGACCAGACTATGCACGATGTACAAAATGACTAATAAACAGGTGGATGTCCCAACTACTAAGTACCTAATACCAGCCCAGAAGAGAACAAGAAATAGCCATGCCTTCAAGTACCAGAGTTATCAACCAAGGATTGAGGTTTTCAAGAATTCATTCTTTCCTAGAACTATTGCAGAGTGGAACTCACTGTCACTAAGTACAGTGGGGGCATTGTCAATAGATAGCTTTAAACAATGTCTAGAGCTAGAAGTTCAAGGGGTAGGTGTAACAAGTCGATCGGTGTAATATAGCCGCGTGCCTGCGAAGCTGGTGTGATACGCCGAAAGGCGGTTACTAGTATACCGGCTATACAGATACAGATACAGAACCGTGCTTTATCCAGAGCCATGCTCAGACAGTTATCAGTATCATAAAATACTTGACTTACATTGCATCTGTTCCAAAAATTGTGCAATAAACTTTGGTGGTAAAAATGGAGAGAAGGGACGTACCATCATCACCATTGTCCCCAACCCACCCCAATGTACTAGTAGATAACTCTACTTCTTATACATGTACATGCAAATTGGACTTGTTAGACATGCAAAAGAGGAAAAACTTAAGAGGTTCGCCAGTGTCACAATTGTCTCCAATCCACCCTATGTACCAGATAATTAATTCTGCCCCAGCTATTATACCTTATCGTCATCGTGACTGTTAGACATTTAAACTTAGGTAGGAAAGCTGAAATGAAAAGTACACACCGTTGTGGCAGTCGTCCTCATCCTCCCCCAGAAAGCAGTCCCGGACGCCGTCACAGACCAGCCCGGAGTCCACACAGGACGCGTTCCCACCCGGACTCCAACATTCCTTCTCCCCGGGCGAACACGTGGCACCTGGACACACAGAGGTAAAAAACACAATCAAGTTAATGCATATAATATTCAAGCAGACGCACAACCCGCAGCAGTCTCTCCACAGGAAATGCAAGCCCTCACTGTGCCGGTCTCTAGAACTCACTCCACCGGCAGAACGTTCATACGTACTGCAGTACACATCTGGAATAGTTTTCCAGACAAGGTGGTAGGCCTGATCACTGACAACAACGTCCAGTCATGTAAAACAAGAGTACACCGGCATCTTCCTTCCACCATCAGGACTTCTACATGTAGCTAGAACACTGCAGAAGTCCTGGTGATGGAAAGAGAATAACTGCAGTGACAGATTGAAGAGATTTCAAAATCAGCTGATTCGTAAACCAAAAACTACGCCAGAAACATCTGACAGTTTCCAAAATCATATCCAGTTGCTTGAGCAACTGTTTTTGGTGTATCTTATTATGTAGATGCATAATCTTCATGGACGTAATGATCACGTATCTTACCACAATCCCTCTCGTCTTCACCGGAGGAACAGTCCCGGACTCCGTCACACACCTGCCACGGGTGGAGACATTCCGGACTCGAGTTGTTTCCGGATCCGGATTCTCCGGAACCAGGAAAGTCCTGGTCGCACTGGAACTGCCAGGACGTGCAGCGGCCCTCTGAGAACAAGATATAAGCACGTGTTGAAGATCAAAACACTCATAAATATGTAATACTATGAATTATAAACCCATTGCTTCAACTTTATTTGTTCTTATAATTCCCCTTTCTACACTTTCTCTCCTTTCGATCTTTTTTACAATCTAGTTCTCTACTCCCCAGTAGTTATATTGCCATAAGTTAAGTAACAATTAGGATTACTACCAAATACACAGACCCTTTAAAATAAGCTAGGTTCCTTCATCTCTATTTCTGTCTCTTACGGTATTGTATCTATCTGCATCCGTATCTGTATAACGGTGTGTTTGTGTGTGCATGTGTTGGAATGTGTGTATGTGTGTGTGCCCGTGTGTGTGTGCCCGTGTGTGTGTTCAAGTGTGTGCGTGTGTTAATGCCGTTACATTCTCTTCTACACACTACACTGTGTATTAATGTATGAACATTTTCTCCTTTCCCCATTCATGCACTATACCACAACGCGTACCACAGTGATCCTCGTCTTCCCCAAACGGACAGTCCCAGTCACCGTCGCAGGCCAGACTGGCGTTCACGCAGTGCGGCTCCGTCCCGTTAAACCCGGGGCTCCAGCACTCCATCTCTCCCTCGGGACACACACCGCCTTAAGGGGAGATAAAAAGTTAGATACTCATTTTCATCAACCTTGTCTTACCCTTGTCTAACTCTGCTTCCTTTTGGACTACCAAAACTTGTCTCTACATAATGAAGATGTTGATCTTTAGATCTCACCAGTGTCACTGTGTAAGGCAGTGGAAGCTACCTGAAACGTCTGACCGTTTACAAAATCATATCCATGTGGCTTGTCAATGAGTAACTGTTTTTTTTCCTGGCATATCAGCTTATAGCTAAGGTTGTGTTGTGAACTGCATCCTTATTGAAGGCTTGCGGAAATGAGTAGTACTGTCTATTTAGTCACATAGGAAGTTACGTGTACCTGAAGAGTGTCCCAGTGTTACAAATAATACTCTTTTTGGAAGCATATTTCCGGAAGCGTAATAGACTGTAAATGACGGTGCAATTCAGAACCCCGTCAGGGGCCTTTACATGGCTGTACCATATTAGACGTAATCCATAAGCATAATTAGAAGCTCAATAAACAATTCAATATACTTTGTTTATTTTGATTATTATTTATGTAATCCTTATTAGTTTATTTTGGTGGGTGTATTAAAAAGGAGTATGTTCCTGTTACCCCTATCCTTTTACACATTTGTTGTAATAAAGTTGAAATAAGTAAATAGATAAATAAATACAATTCCATTCAATATATGGTAAAGACATTTCTTGATTAACATACGTGAGATGCATTGCATGACGGGATCCAACTCATTCGGCAAACCCTCGCACTGCCTGGTGACGTCAAACATCTCCAGGATGTCGTCACATTGCTCCATGACGTCATCACACAGGCTCTGACAGAGCGGCCGGTCCAGGCAGGCGGCGCAGACGAGCAGAGATGCGTTGTCATGGCAACCGCTAAGATGGAGGTACATGAACATGATCCAAATAATTTCCATATTGAAAGAAATATCGGTTCTAATGTTTCTTTTTGCTATGTGGACATGTTTGTAATTTTGGTCTCGTATTAGCTTTACTGTATAAATCTAATGTTTCGTTTTGTTGTGTTGGCATGTAATACTATGTAATTTTGGTATTAGCTTTATTGTAGGAATACATGTATATGTCATTATTTTTACCAGTGAAATACATGTCTTTTTACTTCCAGGAAAAGATAATAAACTAGAAATGTAGCATTTGCAAATGTATAATGTTTGCCCTCACAATCACATGGTCTAGCCTAACAAACTACTGCTGTTTATTCTTACTCAAACACATTCATATACCAGTATATATTGTGACAAGCCCCCAAACTCTGTCTGCACTGCAACTTGCTACATAATGTTACCCAACACCACAAGGTATCTGCAAGATCACTAGTTACCATGGTGACAGATGTCTTGTCTTGGTCATTGACCCAACGTTTTACAAGACGAGGAGAAAAATAGAAGAAAAAGAGCAAGACAAAGCGTTTTCCTTCTGCGAAGTTCAGCATAAATACTTGTTTAAAGGTTTTGTGTTTGTAAGCCAACTCGTCTTACCTTTCAATGACTGACATCATGTCTATAAAGGTGTCGTTCCCGTCCATGACGTCATCACTGAAGTTACCCAGCATGCCCCACATGTCGGTGGTGTTGGACATGACCTCTTGACATAAGTCATAGGTCACCGGGTCACAATCTGAAGGGGGGGCAGACTTTGTTATTAATAGTACTGTTCATTTGCTAAAATATTCAAACATGCTAATTCTATGTAGGAGTAGCTATCTCTCGAGGAAACTAATAAAACCATTTGGTGTATGCTCGTACTAATAAGTCTTGCAAAGCAAAAAAATGGTTGCCTGCTCCAAAAGTTACATGCAGACATACTCTGAAATGCACCGAACCTGTGTTCAACTAGAGACATATACAACGGTTTAAACTAGGTGTAAAAGACGCAATGAGTGGAATATTCTGTCCGCGATTTGTCAATGAATTATTACACACACACACACACACACACACACACACACACACACACACACACACACACACACACACACGAAGCAAGGCAAGTTTTAGTGTGTAAAATCTTTTGATTTTAAAACTTCCGCCACACAACCCGCCTACCCCCTGGCTAGGTGATATGTCCCTAGGCAATTGTTGGCCACCACAATTATCTATCATTTACCGGCTAAAGAACTCGATCTATTAATCTTATTTCTTTGTTCCTGCTAAAAGAGGCGACGCAATGTTTATATGTATTCAAAACGTTGCCCTGCAACCACATCGTTCGAGCCTTAAACATGTATCAGTCTCATTGTGTTGGTAAGACAAGGATTCTTTTGAGACATCAATTGGAACCCCGACATATACATAACACAAAATATGGCCTAATCTGCGATGTAAAACCATGTCATTGTTATTCACAATTCCATAATTGCACAAAGATGTGTTACAGATTCCCTAAGGGTTTACGTACAAAGATATGTTTTTTTTGTGTCAAGTCTGTTGTAATGTATCCAGACCCGCGTTGTTCATACATAATTGTCGTGCCTGCATAATGTTTGTATCTAGGGTAACACAACATTCAATGACGTATGCTTCATGTATCCATTTCTTGTTGTACTGTTTGAAAACAAAGTTAAACCCATCATGTTAACTGTGTGAATCCTCCTGCATTTTAAGGTTAACTAGAGCTTAAATCAACGCCCACTTCTCTCAGAATTACACCGACTTTTTGTACAAACACGCTTCTGTATGTGTTAGCATCGCAATATCGGCCTGTGAAGAGTGAACCAAAGCCAAAGGACACGGTATCATTAGATAGAGCCAATTTTTTTCATCTGTCAACGTGGCCAGAATTACTGTCTGTAACAAATCATGTTCTTATGTTAAGATCTGGAGTTTTATCCCATAATGTCAAAATAACAGTAGCCCTGACAGTAGGGTGCAATTTCGGGATCAACACATCAAAGTCCGGGCTTGGATTCGAACCCTCGAGCTTTTGGATCAAGCACTATGCCACGACACACAAGAGTAGAAGAAAAAAGAACACGACAACAAACATTTTGATTTGGGTCGCAGTCCTTGGGATTCTAATGAATAAAACAAGAAGAGGAAAATTGTCTGGTGCAATTAAAGCCTTTTCACTGGTCGGTATGATTGAAACAGTGTAAGGTGCAAATAACCGTTCTTTCCTACATATGTTTTACTATTCCAATAGCGTAGGTACTTGACATGTTATGTAAACTTAGCAACAGGTAGTGAATAAACAATAGTAAAACCTAACGACGGATCATACATTTCATTGAGTTGCAACCCTTGGGCAGAGGAAATGGCTTACGTTTACTCGTCGCTTTGTTTGTAACAGGTGGTTCGTTGTTGGGTGCAAATTACATGATTTCTCCCACATGATTACCCCTTTTCAATGCCTTATTATACTACTGTAGAGGTAACATATACTGCATCACAAATACATATTAAAAACATTTGATTTGTTTCTCGACCCTCAGATGCTAATGAGGAAAGGAAATTTGTCTGCCTCGACGACAACCTTCCCCGTGTTGCCATGTTGGGTGTTCTTTTTCGTTCTTTTTTCTCCACTTGATTACCCCTTCTAAAAAAACTGTGATCTATCCTTTGTAAAATGCACTGCATAATAAACAATGTCTAAAACAAATAATTTGTTTTCCGACCCTTGGATGCTAATGAGGAAAGGAAAATTGTCTGCCTCGACGACCACCATTCCCGTGTTGCCATGGCAACAGACCATGACGTCATCGTGGGTGCCGGGGGAGAATGTGACTCGACAGGTTGGTTTCCCATGGCATGGCAACCGCGACACAACAAAACGTGGCTGCGGCGGCAATTCACTTTTCTAGCCTCCATAGCATGCTAAAAACTGGGGGTTTGGCGGTCTTCAGGGTCTTTGTGAGCTTTTATATGCTATTTTCCGATTGCATATAGACAACATAGCCGGCCTGGTTGAATTACCCCCGTTTTAGAACTGGGCTAATCCGAAAAGAGCCGAATGTGGGGTCGTGTGGCGTAGCGGCAGAGTGCGCGACTCGGAACTTAGAGTCCCGGGTTCGAGTCCTGACATGCCACCGATCTTGTGCCCTTGGGAAAGGCACTTTACACGACTTTCCTCACTCAGCTCAGGTGTAAATGAGTATTGTCCTGTCATGTATTTGTCCCCTGTGTTGGTGGCGGCATTAATATAAGTTGAAAAAACTTGAGTGTGTCGTCACCACGTCTGGTGATTACATGTTGGAATAAAAAAAATTAAAAAAAAACAGCCGAAGACCACCAAACCCACAGTTCTATAAGCCTGCTACGGAGTCTATCACTTTTCAACGTTTTCATCCAGGGACGAACGTTAGAATTTTGGTTTGAATAATACATGAAGATGTCATTAGTGTAGGCAGTAAAGATCACAAAGTATTTTTTCTTGTAAGGCAAAAAGGAAGACATGGTAAAAAAGGGTTTTGTTTATGAGGCATGGAACATTTCATGAGTCAGAAGCCCAGATGTTTTCTCCAAAATCTCTTCAGACTAAAAACCCCAGTGCGAAAGCAGTAGTGTTTAGCTAGCGTTAAAGGAGATTTCACTGAACAATACTAACACTCTTGCACCAGATGTTGCAAAGAAAGGTCTATTGTATAAAACAGCCATCTCCTAGCCACGAATGGGGAAGGAGAAGAGTGTTTGGGGAGCAACATTTACTGACCTATCGCAAGGTAAGGTGTTTTTCACATCATCAAATGGTCAACATTTGAACGAACAACGATTCAAGGACTAAATAAAGATAGATATAGATACATACAGGTAGATACAGATGCAAATATCTTATATGCCTGTGCCTACATGTAGGTATATCATTCTATACCTTTCTATCTATCTCATAGTATCTACATGTATACATCTGCATCTCTGTGTTTCTCTCTCTCTCTCCCTCCCCCTTTGTATATATGTATATGTATACATATATATATATATATGTATGTGTTAGTCGAACTGCACATGGTAGCACAATCTATTCAAGGACGTTCTACAAGTAGCACGTCCTTGATCTGTTGAAACGCTCGAAATTACACTCAAACTTTTTTGATGCACCAAAACTAAACTTACTTTTACACGGGTATAACCCTGTCTAAGTCGGACTAGCATGTGAATGATTATCGATTGATCAAGAAAACATCAGACCAGTCATAATGAAGTGATAGTATTCCCAGTGGGATTTCTTTAGCATGTCTGACAAAAGATCTGAGCTTACAGAATCTGTTTGTCCTACTTTTGAAATTCTCGGCGTCTCACCTTAACACATGGCAAGAAATCTGGCTTTAAAGCGTTCGCCGTGCCATTTCTACCAGCCAAACTGTCTCTTTACTCACCTCCAAGAAGTCCTAGTCCCGCATGCGGTTCGTGTCTACCGAAAACGCCTCCCAGGACACACAAAACTGTCATCAACAAGAGAAGACTCTTCTCCCTAGCCGACATGTTGGTCGGCAAGGTGGCGTATGCCCGAACCTACTCAGGCGTGTCCAGCAGTTAAAGCTTAGGGAGGCCTTACCGACTAACTCTGGTGCTACAGGCGAGAGGCATTGTGATTATAATGAGACAGGAACCGGTCGATCTGGTAGATTACAACATGAAAGCAGGTGGAAACAAGGTAGCTGGCTAAATCGCTCTCCTAGCGGCCAACAAGGCAAACTATGCTCCCTGTTTGTCTAAATTTTAAAGTTTTTAAAAACAGTAAAATTTAGACAAATAGGGCCAGGAGAGTTTCGCCACAGTTACAAAGCGTTCGTTTGCCAATACACACTGGTGGATCCATTCCCTGGCCAGTTGGACCCTATTTGGGGGGATTCTATCATATAATTCTAATCCCCTTTAGGAAGTCATGAAGGAGACTAGTGAGATTGTATACTGTAAATACAGGTTAGGAATGAAGTGGTTTGAATCTTCCTGAGAGCAAAAGACATCAAAAGAAACCAGAAAAGGGATCAGAATAGACCTAAAAAATACATCTTAATAGACCAGATAAGCCTTTTTGAAATGTCACCAATGTTTGGTTTGCTTTTATTGTACTATGGTACAAACATCCCTAGTAAGATAACATCAAGCAGATACAACTTGCCTTGGTTCAACAGAAACCTAAGGAGGCACTGTCGTAAGAAGCAGCGGCTCTATAACAAAGCTAAGAAAACAGGCCAAGAGGAAGACTGGAACAAATATAAGAGAGTTAAGAAGGGAGTTCAGAAAAGCATAAGACAAGCACACTCTAAATACGTGGCAGACATACTGGGAGAAGCTATTGTTGACAAACCCAAAACATTCTGGTCGTACATAAAAGGACTGAGGAAAGACCTTGTCGGAGTAGCACCCCTAAAGGTGGGAAATACCATCATCAGTGACAGCGGGAAAAAAGCAGAAGTACTCAGTTCACAGTTCAAAAGTGTTTTCACAGAGGAAGACACCACAGATATGCCATCTCTAGGTCAGCCCTGTACTCCTCCAATGGAACATATAGTAGTTTCTACTGATGGTGTCGAAAAAATGCTTCAAGGTCTCAATCCCTCTAAAGCATCCGGACCAGACCAAATACCACCGTGGTTCCTCAAGTTGACAGCTAGTGAAATCGCGCCTGTTCTAACCAATATTTTCCAACACTCGCTAAACACTGCAGAAATCCCTAAAGATTGGAGGGATGCAAATATATGCGCCATCTTTAAAAAAGGAGATAGAGCGGTCCCCAGCAACTACAGACCTGTTTCACTGACCTGCATATCCTGCAAACTACTTGAACATATCATCCATAGCCAAATCATGAAGCACCTAGAAAGTTACAGTATATTAACGGATTACCAGCATGGATTCAGAGCCAAACGATCCACAGAAACACAGCTTATACTAACAGTCCATGACATAGCTGGCGCACTAAACAGTAAACGGCAGGTAGATTTAGCAATACTTGATTTCACTAAAGCCTTTGATAAAGTCCCCCATGGCAGGCTCATCTCAAAACTGGAGTATTATGGAATCCAAGGCCCTACGCTGAATTGGTTAAAGGCTTTCCTGACCAACAGGGAGCAAACAGTAGTGGTTGAAGGGAAGGCGTCGGCTCCAGTTAAAGTAGCGTCTGGGGTCCCTCAAGGAACCGTCCTGGGGCCATTGCTCTTCCTCTTGTATATAAATGACCTACCAGATCAGCTTGACTCAAATGTGAGGTTATTTGCCGATGACTGTCTATTGTATGTAGAGCTTTCTACACAGACCGACTCACAACTTCTCCAAAAAGACCTGAACACCCTGGAAGAATGGCAAAGCAAATGGCTCATGCAGTTTAATCCCGAAAAATGCTACATTATGCACATAACAAACAAACGAACACCACATGCAACTAGCTACCAGTTTTGTGGTCAGGCATTAGCAACCACAAAAATCCATCCGTATCTGGGCGTCACGCTGACAAGCGGACTGAAGTGGGGGTGCACATGTTAATAATATCACAACTAAGGCAAAACAGACATTGGGAGTGATTAAACGTAATCTGTGGGCATGTCCAACGAGAGTAAAATCACTTGCATACACGTCACTTGTAAGACCAAACCTAGAATACGCTGCGACAGTATGGGATCCATATACAAAGAAAGACAAAGACAAATTGGAAAGGGTACAGAATCAAGCTGCAAGATTCTGTATGAACAACTATGTAAGAGGTGCTAGTGTCACGGAAATGAAAAGAAACCTACAGTGGACCTCACTTGAAGACAGAAGAAAGATGTCTAGACTATGCATGATGTACAAAATGACTAATAAACTGGTGGATGTCCCAACTACTAAGTACCTAATACCAGCTCAGAAGAGAACAAGAAATAGCCACGCATTCAAGTACCAGAGTTATCAACCAAGGATTGAGGTGTTCAAGAATTCATTCTTTCCTAGAACTATCGCAGAGTGGAACTCACTGTCACCAAGTACAGTAGGGGCACTGTCAATAGATAGCTTTAAACAATGTCTAGAGCTAGAAGTTCAAGGGTTAGGTGTAACAAGTCGATCGGTGTAATATAGCCAGCTGCCGCCGCGCCGCGTGCCTGCGAAGCTGGTGTGTTACGCCGAAAGGCGGTTATACCGGCTATACAGATACAGATACAGATACAGATACATCAGAAATGCTGCCACTTGGATTTTGGAAGCCTCTGTGACCCTATTTGACAAAGAAAATTGCAACCTTTGCACAAATCAGCTCTAACAGTTATCATCATTGCCAGTATGCCGGGTTAAAAGTGGTACACACCTATCAAAATTACAATGATGAACTAGTTACATCGGTGGCACCACACATGCAAAGAATGTTTGTGTGCTATTGTCTGGTGACTACCTATTCTATTGCAACCACTGAATCAAAAATAGTTTTAAAAAATATGAAGCAAAATTGCCCTTCAGATGACTGTTTTTCTTTTATTTAAGGCCCTTTTGTAGTAGTTTTCATGCAAGGTGCCCGATAGTCAAGCACAAAATATTGTGATATCACTTTTTTAACCTGTTTCTTTTCATGAATATTTCGTCAATTCGCAGAAGTGAATCACCAGGCTTCTACTTTATATCACGTCTGGTTCTATCAATTCACTGGGCTGACCTATTTATTATTTTTTTATTTCGTAGAAAAAAATTATTAACTTTTAAAACAATTACAACTCAGAGACGTAGGCGTTAACATAACGTGGGCGTTACATGTGCACCACGCATACATTAATCAACACCACCTGTTCTTAGACTAATAAATACCAGTTACCAGACTATATTCTTTCATTTTTCACTACTGCATCGGTACCAGTTTACCATCATATTCAACCAGAGTATCCCAACCTGTTTGTTGCCATAGTAAGTATTTTTGCTCGTTAATTAGACTAGAAAGTTAACAAAAATGCATGATTTTACATCTTTGCAGTACCGAATATTCGTAGGTTGAACTATACGTTGACAAGACTGTCTGAAACCGTTCGTTGTTGCCTTTAAAACCAAGTAAGGTAAGTTTTTATCCCGTTGATCATGCTGAAAATCCTGGCGATTTTACATCTATACTGTAATGGACCTAGTTGTACCATAACTATTAGTGTTGAGCAAACAGTAATTTATACTTTAGATGTTGGCCAGTACAGAAAGGTAGCCTCAAACCTTTGTGGGACTGTGGGGGCAGCGAGTTTGCAATCCATAGTATCTCGGTCGAGATAATGGAAGCCAGAGCCCACCCCCATCCTTAACTTCGACTGTCTGTTACATAAACTAATCCCATTGTCTTTTCTGGTACCGTAAGGGTAAAGGGATGCTAACCTTCACTGAGCCCTCTCCTCTCCTTCCACCGTCTTTTACAGAGTCCCATTTCTTTTAAATGAAAGAGAAATTTATACCTTTTTTATCCATATTCTTTTTAGGTCACGACATTGGCCATACCATGCATCTCAAGCGCCTTCATTCCCAGAAGCAAACAGAAAACACAGGCCGGTACTTTGTTTTCCTCATAGTTCTGATTTTAGGGAAACCTTGTTTCGGAGACCTTCAAAACAAATGCAGGACATCAGTTGAAGTGTTTACGGTTTGCTCGTATAGACATCTTGGATTACAAGAACTACCTTCAGGCTTACCAGCCGACGTTACTCGCTTGGATGTCTCTTTCAACAATATAAGACATCTTAGTATCAATATTACGTCTTTAAGTCAACTCCGTTCACTGAAGATCTTTTCAAGTTACGTTGAGACCGTGTCTTGGTTCTCTCTCCAAAATCTCCCGGGACTGGAAACTCTCGACCTGAGGTATAACAGAATTTCACACGTGAACCTGGGACAAGTTATGCGCTATCTCACAAAACTTAAATTTGTAGACCTATCGAATAACAGGCTAACTTCATTCTCTAAAAAAGAGTTAGGACTCCCATTTCTGAACCAGGTAAACCTTAACAACAACCCGTACAGGTGTGATTGCGCCTTGGTGTGGTTATTTGAGGCTGTCAGGTGCCTTCGTGAATGTGAGGGGTCATTTTTGGCTTGTTGTCTTGAGTGCGAGGTCTGCCTCTTTGCCACCAAGTTTAGTCCCACCACAGCTAACCTCGTGTGTGACAGCCCAAGAAGCCTACGAGGACTTCCTTTGAAAAATGTTCAATCTCAGATGACATGTGAAACAAAAAGTTCAATTGTAACAGCTGCAAATTTTGAAACGACAAAAACAACCCGTTCGTTTTCTAGTTCTCTTCGTCAGAATAGCAAAACTGTCACATTGCCTCCAGTTAGTGTGAATAATACAAATCTGTCAACAACCCAAACTGAGGTGTCCTTTTCTCCGACTAATACAACAAGCACATCAACCGTTACTTTTCAGATGAAAAACGGAAGCCTTGGTATTAAAGCTCTGCACATCACAATCATCACTACAAGCAGTTTCTTAGCTTTTATCTTTAGCTTTCACATCTTAAGAAAAATTGTTTTAGTGATCAGATCTGGTAGGCCTGAGAATGACAATGCTGCCCAAAATACTATACCGATGCAAAACATCAGGCCACCCATTCAGAACACTGTTTAC